AAGTACCTACTTACAGTTAATGGTACAACTGCAGTTGTTCGACCGTATTAAGCACATACATTTTTTAAATTATAATTGAGCAATTTAATAATTACCTATTGTATAGTATACTATATATATATGATATAACATTTTTATTATTTTATTAAGTATGAATTGTAAATTTTTTATACAAAGTAATGGTGAACTAATTTTTATCCTATTTTTTGTAGATAATTTATTCAACTGGAACAATACCCAAGCAATTCCTCTACCATCAGTTATCCGACCGACAATAAAAAAAAAAAAATGCAATTACATATTATGTTAAAAATTAACAAATACAACAATGTATACTGCATGGACATTGCAAACATATGAAAAAATATTTTTAATGATTATTTTCATTTAATTTTTGATAAGTGAAATATATATTTTTATATTAAAGGTACTGCAATCAAAATTGTATCAGAATGGTCAAAAGATTAGACAGAAATAACTGTAATAAGAAAAAGAATGATAATATAATGGTATACGATTGTTTGACAAACATAATTTACAGATATGAATAATTCTTGGCTTCTCTGGGATTATATTCGGCGTTTTCTGTAGCGTTTCGTCYACCACGTACTTGGTAAATCACGTTTTATGCATTATTCAAAATACATTATAGTTTGAAGTGTGGCAACGGCGGTTGTAGTTCATCGTGTTATAAACGGCACTATAACACGAGTTTTCCATCAAAACATTGCGCGTCGTAGTAATTAAAATGCAAATAGCATTATTTTCTAAAGGTTTTGGTAATTTTAGATGGGATCGGAGGATCGGGTTATACAAATAATGGTAATCCCGTATATCAGCCACGTAAAAATCAGACGCGGAATACACCAGCTAGGAATACATCGAGGATGAAACTCGGTGGACGAAAATCAACGAAAAACGCTTGTGAGCTATAAGCATAAAGCATTGGGCAAGCAATAATAAATTGACAATTAAAACTAAGGTCAATTTCAAGTTTATAAACATTTTTACCTAATAATTAAAAAAAAAAGTATGAATACAACCAATTTCAAAATTAGAGAAATCTATTTGAGTTAATAATTTACTATTTTCTTGCAAATTATTTTACAGTTTTAATAATATGAAATTCCAATATTAACGCAAAAGATGTTTTGTTKGAAAGTATAAGCATTAAATAATAAAACTTAAATTTTATAACATTTCAAGTAAAATCTGATTATATTTATTATGTACTGATTTTTCACGGAAGTGTTTTCTATTTTTGGTGCGTTATAATTTTGATGGAAAATAGGAAAAATTAGGGCTTATAAATGCCATATAATATAATGCTTATTGAAATTTTTACAWCACACGTTTTGAGGATATTATAATAAATTTTGATATTCTCTATTTATTCTCTAGAATACATATACCTAATCATATTMTTTTCAACACAAATTTAATATGTCATTTATGTACTGTAGTATATAGAAAATACGTAAATTTTGAAGAATGTCGATACTACTAAATTGATTGACACAATTCAACCCTTTAAATGTGTACTCATTTTATGAATGTTGCAATTTCAATTTATAAAATTGATATTTTATTAGATTCAATTGAACTAGACTTCAAAAATTCAGTAAGACCACTTCTTTTTAACTTTGAAGTTTTTTTAAGTTTTTTAATTTATCTGTAATGATATATTTTTATTCTTACATTTTATTTTTATTATATTAATTTTTTTTTTTATTACAATAAGCCTCGGCAGCGAAGGCCACTGGCTGACATTTGACAATATTAACAATGACATAAGATTAGTTATTACATTTTTATTAATTTTTTGTTATACATAGTTACTATGTTTTAAAAATATTTAATATAACGTTAAACACAAATATTTTTCCCTATTTTCTTAGTACTGTAAACTGTGTACAATCGTATGAGTAAAATTAGCATTCCTAAAATTCGTTTCAGAATTCAGTGGGATATTATAGAATCTATGGATACTACATTTTAATAAATTTAATTAGTTTATTTCCAAGTAAATGTTTATTTAATAAAAATACTGTAGGTACTAAAAATGCTTAAACAGGATATTWTTATGTTTTCTATGTAATTTTTTGTATTTTCATGAAAACATTTTTTCTATTATTTTGTATTTCATAAAGTTAAACACGGAAAATAATATATATACCTAGGTTAGTGAAATTTAATATTAGATTCTGAACGAAGTGATGAATGTATTGATTTTAGAATGACATGTGTTTTTTTTTTTTTTTTTAATTACTATTTTTATTTGTTCTATTTTCTAAGTAGTTATATTATAGTACTGGAAACATATCATAGAGGCATGTATAATTATAGATCTCTCTATCWATAAATAATGTTTTYTGTTGTATATAMAATGTTAAATTGTATCAAATTATAAGTTTTGTGAATTTATCTCGATTACACAGAAAAATAAATTAACTATAAAACTACAAACGTTACTGACCTGATAGAAGTTTGGTAAGGGTTGTACGTGTTCGACTAGGTTGCATAGGGCTACCGAACTACGATCATCAGTACACTCGGTTTCTAGAGGATCTCTTTTCACTTTATTACAAAACGGATGGATGGATTGGCCTTTGGCACGTTTCATGTCCATCCATTGTTTACAGCTTTTTGTTACAAAATCGCAGCCCAAGTTTTTTCCCCAGCTGAGATCCTGGGCTAATGAATAATTAGCTTTATACCATCCAGTATCTTCCATCAGTGCTAGTGTTAATCGTGAATAAACCGGATTCTGTGTGTGAGTGCCCGTCATTGCTTCATTCTAGAAAACGTTTAAATGTAATAAGTTTTAAATGAAAAAAAGTGTTGTAATAGTAAAGTGGAAACGTAGTCAACGATTTAATTATAATTAACGTGAGTATACGACTTAAGTCTCGAGTATTCTACGATTCTATACCACTTAATTCTCAGGGATAATACAAACCTCAAACTGAGATTTTCACTTTCCTTGAGAAATTGAGTTATAAATATTGGGTATTTATATACGCTGCATGGTTAGGTAATAATTTAACTATYTTCTATCAGTGATAATTGGTTTTAAAAACATTTTATAACTATACATTTTTATGATAGCTCTATAATTTGTTACTTACTTAATTCAATATCTCAGCTATTACTTTTTACATTAGAAGTATAGGGATTTATGTTTAAAACAAATACTCATGTTACAATGCATACCTGTCTAATATTTATACAAGTTGCAAAATAAATTTAAATATATTATAGAAATAAATAGGAATAATTTTAATAAATACAAGCCTAAAATCAAAGATTAAAGATTCTCAACCAGAAGAAAACTATAAAAGAAATTCTTCGAGCTACATATTCCAAAATTATTTATAATAAGACATTTAACAATTACTGATTATTGAATTAAATTAAATTAAACTAATTTATTTTAAGAAAGCTGAAAAGCTTTAATTCATGTAAAAAAATTAAAATAAACAAAAAATAATTATCGCTCCTTATGTATATTCTCATTTCTAAATTTATGGGGGAAAAAAAATATAATGAACCAAATAATAAAACAAATCGTTTTTGTTTGCTGAAAAGATAGCTTGAAGCGTATGAATTTCCAGAGTGTAATTTTTTTAATCTATAAATTTCAAAATTATAACAGTATATTGTGTGTCAATGGTGGAAGATGAGCTATTTTTGCCCAAGTCTGAAAATGCCTCCCCGTACGAGCTATAAATTCTATTTTTTGTCACGCCTCTATGTTCATCGACCAAGGCAAAGGTTATGCAGGGGTCTTTGAAGCAACCAGACTACTCTACAAAAACGAAAAACACTTTCATGAAAGGACAGGTTTAAGCGTCATACAAGGAGCTTATTTATTATATGAATATAAGACGCAAACAAAAGTTTATGTTTTGTAAAGACCCCGTAGTATATAGATTTCAGTGTCCAGTTATGTAGGGAATACGCCCAGCATTTTTGGCAATTTCCACTTTACCAATTTTGGGGATTTCTATGCTTCAGCCGTCATCGAAAACTAAATTTTCGGTACAGGCGTGACAATAAATATTAAAATGCTTTTAGATTTAATTTAATAGAATTGATTTTTTTTTTGTGCTATCAAAGTTATTATTATAAAACGGTCAATTATATAATATTTATTATTTTATTCAAACATTTTTGAAAATCGTTACTAGGAAATAATTTTCACGAGCAATTTAAAAACATCTATTAAATATAATGAGTAATCGTGCTACAGTCATAATTGTATTGCAAGTACAATAATTTATAATACCTTTCAAATAATAATAATAATATGCGTATACTCAGCATATTATAGAGGTGAGATGTAAATCATAATTTATTCACATAGTTAATTATAAAGTGAGAATATATTCAGTATTCATAATTGTACGAGACCGTAATTATATTTTGTTGAAAAATTCTCAATTTTTGATAAATTCTATAAGTAGATTTACWGAAAATTTCTATCGTTGTGATAATTAAATGGAGCAGAACACTACTATTAATAAAATGTTTGAAATTACCAGTTAATACAAGATGAAAAGGATAATCACATATTTGATATTTCCGATTTAAATTGTTTTTTTATTTTTAAATTTTTTCAATAAGAGAACGGAGATATTATTTCATAGAATTCATAAAATAACTTGAAATTGTTTTTAAATTATAATTATTAATAAACTGATTCGTCTAAAACGTAATAAAAGGTGAACTTTAACAAAAATATTATTTGCACTTTCATTAGACATATCAAAGAAGCAAACAATGASTTTATGATTGAATTTAAGTTTAATATTTTTGAGATAATTACATACTTTTGTTTATTGTTTTTATTATACATACTTCCTGAAATGCTGATATTAATCAATATAATGCGATTTCATAGTGAAAACTGAGTACAAAGTATAGGTCCTTTTAAATCTAGTTGGTCTAGTACTCTAATCAGAGTGTTGAGCAGCTATAAAACTATAATAAAGCTATAAAGCTATAAGACTAAAAATATCAACAATTAGATGATTGTAATTCGAYACTATTTTCTTACACAAAATCATTAAATTTGGATTGCCCAGAATTTTTATAAAAATTTAAAGTTCCAATATTCAACTTTAGCAAGTCTTAAAACCATTTTGTATACCTAAATCCACAAAACCCTTATTTTCTAAGAGTTTGGTGCCAAAATTAGATTATCTTATTGTTAATCACGATTTTTTTATAATACATATTCTGAACTAAAAATCAAAATCTATAATGCTATCAATTAATTTTACAAACTCAATAATTAGTTGTAATATTGTAATTAATATTATCTGTATTTTCATTGATAATAAAATASTATAATTGCCCAAACCTAAGCCGTTGAACTAGTTTTTGAATATCAGACTCATACAGCATTCTCTCCGGGCATATAAAACAATAGTTAACATATATTATCCACGAGTAAAACACGTTTGGACGCATTTACCCATAACAGAACCTTTTTGCGCGTAGATCCATATACAATTATGGAGTAAAATATTTCCCTTTACATAAAATTGAAACTTATATAAACTCCAAGGGTATATTAGCGTTAGATATCTAAAATATRCCACTAATAGATAGGTTCAAAAGTCTTGCAAAAATATTTAAATAATAATTTTTTTTTGTGATTAATTAATATTTTTGACGTAAAGTGTTATTCTAATTTATACATATATTTTTTATATATTTGTTATCAATATACATTTTGTTTGCCACAAAGCGTGGTTCTAATTTTTGTATTTAATTTAATCTTTAATGTATTTTATTCTTTTAGGTATAGGTAAGTTTTCTAACATTTTTGTACAAATTTTAATCATATTTCAGTTTCTTTTCTTAATATTATTTTTAATTCCAAACACGCACATTGTATATTTGTAAGAAAAGTTTCAGTGCATACGAAAATGTAGCATTCGCAAAAACATGATTAGATTCAGTAAGTAATTTTAAATAAGAAATACAAGTAAAATTTGAAATGATATCAGTTGTTATGTTCATGTATTGTGTCCAAAGGTATTTTCATAAATGCGTCCATGCAAGTTCGTTTTATTAATTTACAGGAWAATCTTTCATACTGCACTCAAACGTTTCACCATATTTCAATACATATACAATTTTATACGACTGCAAAGATTTACCAGTGGCACAGAAGTAATTTATTTACAATATCCATGTAATCTAGCTTCTATCACCTAATACCTATAGATCCTTCTAGGGACAAATAGATTGTAGATCATCTGCAGCTTAAGATATTACATAAAAGCAAGCATTGAATTTTTTTATGTTAGATCAACTGATAAAATTCTGATTAATAAATACAAATGAACACTATGAAAAGTGGAAACAAATTCAAGTTCAATACTACTTCAAAGCACTACCTAAGCAGGCTTAGCTTTATTTAAATAATAACTATTTAATTTAATTTAATTTAATGGTAGTTTTTCTACAGTCGTATTTATAAATTAAAATTGATAATTATAGTTTAATACCCCATTGTATTTTAAGGTGTAGAAAATTGTTACTTATATAGTAATACAACCTAAAACTTAAACTTATAAAATACAATTATTATATTATTGGTGTTCATATATTTTATAAGCAAAATCCGTGTCTTGGATTTGCATTATTTTACAGATGATTTAAAAGTTAAAAATCTAACCTGCCATCAAATACTTTAAAAAAAATCGTGACTATATTTTTTAATTTTAGTAATAATAGCTCTTTAGGAACGTTATATTCAATTTTAAATATTTAAATTGACCTAGAAGAACCRAAATATTTTGAAAASGGTGATATGTCAAGAAAATACAAATTATTTATTAATTAAATAGTCTGCGAACATTTCGGGTCTTAATCCKATTCATGTCTTAATAACCTATACAAAAAATCAGAATTGATAGTTCGAAAACCACTTTTCTTAAAATGGCTATTAAATATAATGGCATAAAAAAATTAAAAATTGTTGTTTATTGAAAGYGAAACTGATTTGTTAAAGTATTTTTGGATATAATCGTTGTATTAATGAATGTATTCGAACATATATTTAATACTCAGMATAAGTAAGTGTTTTTCAATTGAATTTGACACTTGGAAATTTTAATATACTATAAGAACTTCATAAAAAACATGTTTTTAATACATTTCAAACATTTTATAAACTTATAAAAGCCTTGAAGTTTAAATCCAATCCATAGATACTTTAAACTTATTGTTTACTAAAGCAGAAAATAATATTATTCGATTTTACAGGTAATGTATTACTCAAGTGGTTTATTGATTATACATTTTATTTTATGATTGATGCAAATTTTATGAACTATGTTATGTTTAATCATTACAAARTATGATATATAACCCAATTTACTGATTACTTTGGTCGATTGGAAAATCATAAGAGTCAGGAAAGGCTCATTGGAAAAAAAGGAGGTGTAGAACAYATTTATCATAATATATTATGCTATACTCAAATCCATTGTTTCCATTTATAAATTAACTTGAAAAATTAAGGAAAAATATAAAATTATAACACAATAATCAATCTWAAAATAAATACTTCAACAAGATTGATAAAAGTAATTAATATCAATTAATATGTAATGGTAATTGTAAACAGAGTGATCCATTTAAGTGGGTACACTAATTATTTCGAAAAGTATTAACTTTTTTTTWAAACTTTTAGGTTTATGCTTTTCTAAAACGACTAAAACCGTATAATATTTAATATAATTTTTTTTCACTCTTATATTTTATCGGTGAAATTGCTATCAAATTTTGATTTTTCAATTGGTAACATAATATGATTAAAATATCATAAATTAATAAAACCATTTTTTTTTTCATGAATTATATTGGTTTCACCATTAAATATAAGAGTGAAAATAATTAAAATATTATACTGTTTTAGAAAAACATAAACCTAAAAGTTTGAAAAAAAATTTATGCTTTTCGAGATAACTAGTGTACCCATTTAAATRAATCACTCTGTATACAATATATGTACACTTATATGTTTTTAAATGTATATAATATAAATACATTTAAATATTTTTAAAACGAATAGAAACAATTATTATTTAAAAAGTAAATACCTCAAAAATTCTTTTTTCCCAATGTGTAAGAGCCGTACCATCTTCCCCTTGATCTTCCAGTTCAGCTCCTTCTAAATAGGAGCAGTTGAAATGTTTTCGAACTTCTTCAACGACTCTTGGTGTTACCATCATTTGAACTTCTTTGTCTACCACGCCACCGTGTACTGTCCAATTTCGTCTTATCACAGTCTTGATTACTTTATCACTCCACTGCCTTGCTTGAAGTCTATAATAATCAGACATTTGTCAGTAAGTAATATTTATTATTACCTATATGTGAAACAGAAGTAAATAAAAAAAAGTTTATACTTTTAAGTTTTAGATTAAGTTCAGATATATTGGAGGGCCACTGTATTTTTTTACTGAATAGGTCTTCAATTAATATAATAATATACTAGGACCACTAGTTTATTTGTTCAATGTGTAGGATTMTGGGTTTTAACTTTTATTTACCTACTGTRTCTGTATGTATTAGGCAAGTATTTTATTTATTTAAATTGTATAGTAAAATTAAATTACAATGTGGACTAAATAAAATATTACAATTTTAGACATCTTCAATTATATATTTATATAAAGGGTCAAAAATGAAAACGCRCAACTTAATTTGGTATGGATTGTCAAAGTATATCATTCATTAAAATCAAACATATTTARCATAAACAGAGTAGTAAGAATATTGTTTTATCAAACATAAAATGCAACATGCAGTGTTGCTATGATTTATATTTCAAATTACACTGGAATCTTATTATTTATTATTATTGTAGGTAAATAATATTATTATTCATTTTTATTCATATTATTGTAAAATACGCCATCGCTATCAGAGAAAATATCAAAACCGTCTTATTGGAAATCAAAGAAAGTATGACATAAACTGCAACGGTTCGCGAACTAAACGCAGAGTTAATATTGTTGTTATTGTGTAGGAATATTGTACTGTCGTTTGCAGTCATAGTGGGTGAATCTAGTCAGGACATTAATTTTAATTTCGAGAGACAACCAGTAAATGTCCTAAAATATAATACACCATTCCTTTGAGGTAGTTGGTAGACAAATGGGCAAAGTATAAGTATAAATCATAATGGTAATTTATTAGCTTACTTCTCGTTGAGCCTGGGCTTGCCGTTGTCTTCCCTGGCAGTCAGTGGATACCCGTTGGCATCCCGGTAAAATGCRAACAGGCTCACGGAGAAACCTAACGCGTGCAATATTTCGTGTTTGACCGTGGACAGAAGGACCTCGAGCTCCTGCGGCTTGGTGCTGATGCTCTCCGGGCACAGGTTGGCGTGCCCGGCAATCGGCCGGTCCAGTGCCGACTCCTGTTGGCAATGGGCYGCGTATGCCACTGTCAGGCCCTTGTGGCACCGTTCCGTCTCCATTGCGCTTACGTAGAACACGAAGTCAGCTCCTTCGATGCCTACGCCTGATTTCGACGTTCCCGTGCCGCAGTCCATGCCCGACGCGTTGCACGTCTTACACGCCTAAATATATTGACATACTTAAGATATGGCAGGTTAAATAAAACAGATTTTTTTTTATTTATACACTTAACAAGCTATACAGGTTGATTCTCACTGGCATATTCTCAAATTTTTGAATTTCTTTAGTATAGGTACTTAAAGACAATTATTTAAAACAGGTCCTTTTAAAGAGCGTCCTGTGGGTTGATGAGTCTTAATTAAAATTAAACGAATCACTCTACGAAAAATTAGAGTTAGGGAAAATCGCACACAACACTCTGTGTAAAAATGCATACCTACAATGATATATTATAAAAATGATTTATACTGCTGGTTTTAATTACGTTAGTGATGCGGTTTTTAGAAAGATACGAGTAATCGACGGTATTTGATATTGTGAGAAGAGACCGAAGAACGGGAACATCAACAGGACATGGTGTGTAGAGCATTCTTGAGGTAGACTGCGAAAAGAAAAATGGAGATAAGGTGACTAGGTGAGACGCGTAACTCTCTAAATGTAAGTAGGTATATTTAAGGAACCGGCACTGTTGAAATAAAAATTATAGGTCAGTGTCAACCGGTTGAAAATATGTGCACCACAATAATGTGGATGCATCACTGAAGCAATATGTTAATGTATGGGCCCGATAAAACAAAATTGAGGAACACTGTCCCTATGCTTACCACCCTCCCAAAATTGTTCATACATTTAAACAAGATATAAAGAAAAAAGATTTTTTTTAAATAAATTTGATATGTTCAATATAGCGGGTAGAGTTTACAATTTTGTAATATATGCATTGTACTTTTCCATTTATTTAAAAACGACCGTCACAGATATTTTAAAAACACGTGCGTTAAATTATCATTGTTTTTAAATGATTATTGAAYATTAATTTTGGACATAAATGCAGCTGTAGATTATAAAATATAGTAATACATTGAAGAAAAATATTTTTAATACTTTCAAAAATGTATTTTAAATTTGGTATGTTAAAGAAAATATGAAAAATAAATAAGTATATTATTGAAACGTGTGTATGGTCTCCTAAATGTTTTCCTCCAAGTGCACGTGTACCCCGWTTAAACTTGCATAAACCTGTCTATCAAATAACAGGAGATTATTTATTCTACAGATAAATGATAATAATACAATACATCAAAAAATTAAAATACACGATACAGCATGGTATAATATTATGTTCGAGTAAAGAGTTGCGCCACAAGTATTTTATACTATTATCATTCCATAATGATACGATAGTTTTCGAGTTCTGTATTCCAAGATCAACACAAGTTACAAGATTTACATAAAACCATTGAAGTTAGGTTAGGTACTTATTACTACTGTTTATTTAATGATACACGATATTAAAACTACTTATAAATAAAAAATGTAACTGTAAGACTTTAGTAGAACAACTACAGCATTAAAAATCACGTTTTAAAAATAAAATTATAACTTGGCTTCTAATATTTATTTAATTCTAATAGTTACGCAGTTTACCTCTAAATGATCTTCGGGAACTTGTACTTCACCACACATCGTTCGGTCTTCACAAGCGTTCTTGCAGTATGGATGAGGATCTCCTTTTCGATAAAAAACTTGATTGTTTACACATTTTCTGTAAAATAATTCGAGGTTGAAATATAAAAAATTCGTTACAGTACGCGTGACGAAACTGTGCTGGAGAATTTAGCACCCCCACTCATAATAACCTAAGTAGAATTATCARAACTAATAAAGCCTTACTGGAAATTTAAGAAAAAACCCGGAACTGTGATGCAAAATCATTTTCCTAATTAATCACTGTATATAATAGACTTGAAATTTTTCCTAAATACGAAAATAAATATAAAAATTTTCAAGGCATTATATAATTTCAAAATATGTTTTATATATATTTGCTATTTATATAGACATTTAAAATGTTCGGCTTAGTTAAATTTTTCTTCTATTTATCTATGATAAGTGATAACACTTTGTTAATTAATATCTTGAAAAACTATTAAAATAGGTTCCTTATACGTTTTTCTTAGCACAGTAATCATAAAAAAAATGTCAAAAATAAATAAGCACGATTTTTTTTTAATAATAATTTTTTAAATTTTTACAGAATTACTAAGTAAAATTTTTATTTAAAAATTTGTATAATTTTCATTTTCAATAAGTAAGGATTGAATATTTTAATAAAGATTCCTCATAGATAATTTTAAAAAAATTTACTCAATGATGCGATACACGCTCTACTACAATAACAGACTACTAAACAGCGCAACGAATTATCTGAATTTTCGAAGTGCAATTTCCAACAGTTTTGGGACATTGAATGTTGTTTAGAAATTATGCAAGATTATTWTTATTTGCACCATAATTATWAATGTTGAAAATTGAAYCTTCGATTCATTTTAATTTCGTTTCTAATTTATTTCTGATTATCTTAGAATCACCGGTCATAGAAGATCTTCAACAAAATATCAATTATTTCTTATAATATAATTTCCTTTTGTTAATGCAYGTCATTWATTTTAAATAGATTTTTCATATAATTACCGGTTGAGTCGAATAACGTTTTCGGTTTTGCGAACCATGAGTGCTTGTTCCCAAAAACGCACAGCTTCCGGTAGTATGGTATTCTGAAAAGAAAAGAAACAATGATTAACAAAATTCTGATTGCATTTTAAATGTGACAGTACCATAGAATAAAATCAATTAATCGGTTGGCTAATTATAGGGTTCTTAAGCCATTTAGTAGGTCGTGTAGTATATAATGTGAAACTGTTATCAATGTGATCCCCTTACAAGGCAATGGTGTTATCCAATAGCATTACCTACTCTTATTATTAGCTTTGGACGCTTTCTAATATCCAGTTAACCGACACGCGTTACTTATTGAAAATCGTTTCACATAATATTCTAATCTTGATAGAGTACATAAAATCACGAATTCCAAAGTTCRATATTTTGTTATTAATATATTCTTTATCTAAACAAACCCTATGAAAGTTTTGAAATTGGTAAATAATAAAATTATGTAATAGATTTTCGAATTCTTTAATTCACAATTTTAGATTTTACATATAACACAAAAAATTGGTCTTAAATTATATTTTCGAAAACTTATTTGCAAGTAGGTACAGTAGTGATTCAATCACTCGTAATTGAATATAGATAGGACTTTCTAAAGGTATTTTGTTTTTGAAAATTTTCGCTTTTAGCCAATCTTATTCACTCATAATTTGTGATAAATCATAAATCATAACTTCTAAAATAAAATATAATATAATAATACAGTATAACTTTTGAGGCATATTACGARTTACGACAAACCGAGCAAAGTATCTCTAAGTTTATATCACGTAGATAATATTATAAATACTAAAAAAAATATATATACATATCAATATTCACAGTTAAAAAAAGAAAAAGACAAAAACAGAAAGGTGAGAGTTGCTGTCACACATTCGATAGTAATTCAAGTTTCATTATTGTATATAGATACTTCATTATTTTTAGATTTTCAAACAGCTTCAAGGACAATAGGGTAATTGATGTTTCGTAATACGGAAAAAAGTCCTTCGCGTTCGCGTATTCTCTATATTATATTACAACATAAATATGGAAAATAAACGAGGAAATATTGGTTCAATTATGACTGTATATTTCTTATTCGCCTTACATCATTATAAGTGTCATGTACCAGTAATAATTATATCAACAAAATTTTAAATCAAGAATTTCCATGACTATTTATCAAACTATTGTTTAACTATTTTACTAAATAACGAAACAAAATATTTTTATGTATGAAGAAAAYGAAAGTAAATTATAATGTAGTATAGGTTATTACTTATTATCAGGTTATTGACTATTTAAAAGTTGAATGGCTAAATTTATAACTATTCTAAATTGAATTAGTTATATTATGTAACTAATACATTTATAATTTGTTACATTTARTACGTTTAGTAATTCAATGATAATAATTTTCAAATAACATGGAAACATGGATCTTGTAGCGCAAAACAAAGGGTATGGTCATTGATTAAAATTATAAGTATTAATGATATGGTTTTTAAACTATTTGTAGGTACTTAATCGATATTCGTATTTTTAATTGCTATAATTATATATTTATATATTTTCTTGGAGTATAATATACTATGGTTAGGTTTTTAGCTYAGTAAAGTTATAATATCTATCAAAAATTTTCACAATAATATTAAAAATATGATCAAAGAATTTTCTTTGCATTTTAGGAAGATCGTTCATTTGGTAGGTGGTATGTACATCAATCTACATTCATGAAGAGACTGAAAAGTTTARAATATAAAAACATATTTCCTTTTACCTGTACCTATTTATTATTTTCAGAAATAAAATATGTTACACAAACAGAATACTAATTTTAACTTGTTATATTTTA